GCGCCATGGAAGCTGCTATGGCGGCTTTACAGAAGATTCCTGGAGCCCCGACAGCACAGCGCACCAGTTGGAGGGCGAGTACGTCCCAGAGAAGGGTCTTAAGCTCACTGGTTGGCAGAAGATGGCGTACTACAACTACCCCATGGATGACGCGCTTCTCACGGAGAGCACCTCCACCAAGTGAGCGATTCCGCGACGTGAGCAGCTTGCCCCTAAACCCTGAACCCTAAATGCGAAGCACACAGCTGCCATATCGGAAGCAATGCAAGGCGCCTGCGCAAGACCGGGAAAGGTGTTCATGTCACCGCTTTGTGCTTGGGTTTTGGGGTATCGGCTTCAGGGTTGATATAGGGTTGGGTTTGTGGAACCCTAAACCCTAAACCCTAAACCCTAAACCCTAAACCCTAAACCCTAAACCCTAAACCCTAAACCCTAAACCCTAAACCCTAAACCCTAAACCCTAAACCCTAAACCCTAAACCCTAAACCCTAAAAACCCTAAACCCTAAACCCTAAACCCTAAACCCTAAACCCTAAACCCTAAACCCTAACCCTAAACCCTAAGCCCTAAACCCTAAACCCTAAACTTAAGGGGCTCAGGGTGCAAGAAGTTAGTTCTGAGGCCAGGTTGAGCCTCACGCACAAAAGGCGATGTAGGGCTTTAGCGCTTCAGGGTTTAGGGTTTAGGGTTTAGGGTTTAGGGTTTAGGGTTCAGGGTTTAGGGTTTATCACCCCTCAACGAGACAATACTTTTGTTGGATCTTTGAGTCATTGAGGGTGCAGGCGCAGACGGTCGTGTTCTTTTGGCACGTTCGGGAAAGAGAGAGGGAGAGAGAGAGAGAGAGAGAGAGAGAGAGAGTGAGAGAGAGAGAAACAAAACAAAACCAAAAAAGTCCAAAGTTAATGCACGGGATAGAATCCTGGACCCTGAACCCTAAACCCCCCAAATCCTAAACCCCAAAAGCCCTAAGCCCCTAAACCCCTAAACCCGACACCCCTACATCCTGAACCCTAGACCCTAAACCCCTACCTTAAACCCGAAACCCCCTTAACCTTAAACCTGAAACCCCGAAACCCCGAAACCCTAAACCCCTCTAAACCCTAAACCCTAAACCCTAAACCCTAAACCCTAAACCCTAAACCCTAAACCCTAAACCCTAAACCCTAAACCCTAAACCCTAAACCCTAAACCCTAAACCCACCCCGAAGTCCCAAAACCTCGAAACCCTCCTATCCCGAAACCCAAGCCTAAGGTGTCCTCAAAGCCGACGACCTCAACGACTTCATCAACAAGAAGCCATCGGCTCAAGATGTGCATCAGGTTAAGAGTCCTGGGGTTTAGGGTTTAGTGTTTAGGGTTTAGGGTGTAGAGCTGGGAGTCTTAACGTCTTCGGTTTTGAGTTTTAGGGTTTAGGCTTGTAAGTTTTGGGTGTGTGTGTGTGTGTGTGTGTGTGTGTGTGTGTGTGTGTGTGCCGGGGGGGGGGGGGGGTGGTTAGGGTCTAGGGCTTTGAGCTCTAAAGGGTTTAATCTCTTCAACTAGTCTTTTATACCCCCCAAAAAGAACAGAATCTCCTTAAAGGGACCCCCTTCAAAAAGGGCATCCCCATTTTCGGAAACCCCCATTTGAGTTTTGGGGTTTGGGGTTTCGAGCTGGAGGGTTCTAGGATGCCCTGTAGTACCCTATTCCCCCTTTTTTTTTTTTTGGGGGGGGGGGGGGGGGGGGGTGGGGGGGGGGGGGGGGGGGGTGGGGGGGGGGTGGGGGGGGGGTGGGGGGGGGTGGGGGGGGGGGTGGGGGGGGGGGGGTGGGGGGGGGGGGGGGTGGGGGGGGGGGGGGGGGGGTGGGGGGGGGGGGGTGGGGGGGGGGGGTGGGGGGGGGGGTAGGCTACCTTTTTCAACCCCTTTCAGCGAAGAAAGGGCACCCTTTGTAATTCCAGGTTACTGAGCAACCTAAGGTTCAGGGTTTATAGACCAGAGCTCCCAGAGGCTCCAATGCCCCTTAATTAATTTATATTCCTTACACTATGTAAGGAACCCTCTGAAACTTCTTGTACTTGTAGTAGTAGTAGCAGTAGTAGTAGTAGTAGTAGTAGTAGTAGTAGTAGTAGTAGTAGTAGTAGTAGTAGTAGTAGTAGTAGTAGCAGTGTTGGTAGTGGTAGTAGTAGCAGTGTTTGTAGTGGTAGTAGTAGGAATATTCCTTAAGTAAGGAAATTGGAGTCTCTGGTGTGTAGGGGTGGGTTTGGGCTTTAAGGCTGGCACTTTTTCGAACTCGGGGCTTGGTTTTGCTAATGGATATATATATATATATATATTATATGTATATATATATATATTTCTATCCTTAATATATAGTCCCTATATACCTAAGTGGCCCCGAATTGACCCCCCAAAATAACCCCTAAGCTAAGGTCCATATAGTCCCCATATACCTAAGTAGCCCCTTAAATAACCCCCCAAAATAGCCCCCAAGGTCCCTTATAAGGTACCATATATACACCGCATTGGCCCCTAAATGACCCCAAAAATAACCCCTAAGGTCCCAAGGTCCCTTATAAGGGTCCCTCCTTTAGTCACTTGGGTTGTTTTTGGTTCAAGGTTTCAGTGCTTTGGGTTTTGGCATCATGGGTTTATGGTTTACGGGGTTAGGGGTTGTAGGGGTTCAGGGTTCAGATTTTCAGGCTTGGGGTTCAGGGCTTTACGGCCTAGGGTTAGGGTTGAGGGTTTGATGGTCAATGGTTTGGGTCTTTAGGGTTGAGGGCTCGGCGTCGGTTTCTTTGCGAGGTTTACGGTTTACGGTAGGGCTTGCTCCAATGGGGTGGGGGGGGGGGAGGCGTTCAAGGTTGATGGCTGTGGGACTGGGGACGTGGTTTTAGGGCTTCGGCTTCGGGTTGGAGTTGAGGGTTTATCAGAGTTTAAGCGTTTGGGGTACAAATGCGAGACTTGCACCCTAAGCCTGACTGCTCCACGCCTGAAAACCCTAAACCCACAGGCAAGTTCCGACGGAAGCCATGCGCGAGCGAGAGAAGAAGGACCCTGGGAGTATATTCTAGCCCTGGAGGTTGCGAGAACTGTTGCAGGGGGTTCCACAGGGTGCACAGGCGTTGATAGGGTTTAATATATTTTTAGGGGCTTATCGGGCAGTTTGTTTTAGGGTTTCATAGGTTTAGTCGGGCTTTATCGGGCTTTTATAGGGAGGTTGTAGAGGGTGCTCGGGTTTTATAGGTGGAGGCTGTCGAGGGCTTAGGGCTTTTTAGGTTCCCGGGTGACGCCCTAAACCGTAAACCCTAAACCCTAAATCCTAAACCCTAAACCCATAGACACTGGCCAGGAGAAAGCGCGGCAGAAAGAGAAGGAGAAGCTGCCGCTTGCACACAAGAGACTCCCCCTAGAAGCCCGAAGCACTGAATCCTGAGCCTCAACCAATAAACCTAAATCTAAACCCGAGGGTTTAGGATTTAGGATTTAGGGTTTAGGGTTTAGGGTTTAGGGTTTAGGGTTTAGGGGTTTAGGGTTTAGGGTTTAAGGTTTAGCCTAAGGCCCATACTAGTTTAACAGGGACATAGGGTTGATGTCGAGGCCTGACCCCATGAATCCTCAGCTCTAAGCTCTACGAAGCCAGTAGCCGCTTTGAGACCCCAAGCCCTCAGAACCAAGCCTTGACCTGCCAGAAGCCCTAAGAACCCGAAACCCTAAACCCTAAACCCTAAACCCTAAACCCTAAACCCTAAACCCTAAACCCTAAACCCTAAACCCTAAACCCTAAACCCTAAACCCTAACCCTAAACCCTAAACCCTAATGAAGCCGGCCGGTCACCCAAGGAACGCTGGCATCGTCGTGGAGGAGAAGAAGAAAAAGAAACCCAAGGCCACCCAGTTAGGGGCTGTGGAGGTTGGAGTTTAGGGTTTAGGGTTCAGGATTTAGTGTTTAAGGCTTAAAGGTTTAGGGTTGAGATTGTGTAGTATTTAGAGTCTTTGTTTTCGTTTCAGAGTTCGTTGGGTTTCTAAGGTGTTGAGGTTGTTGGGATGTTTAGCTTTTTGTTTTTAAGATCTTGTTAGGGTGTTCAGTGCTTTTTGGGGCGAGACCGTAATTCTATACTCGACCCCATCGGGGTCCTGTACTGGCCCAGCCCTGACCACACCCCTACCCAAATGTGCGGTTTAAGGTTTCGGGTTAAGGGTTTAGCTATATTCTGTAGGCTTCACGGCTCGTAAACCCTAAACCCTGAACCCGGAACCCTAAACTTTTTTTGTTGTGTTTGTTTTTCAGGGAGCGGTGACCTGTTAACCCTAAATATAATTCGTGAATGCATGTATCCTAAAACTTTCGGCTGCCTAAAGCCGAAACTCTCCGCTGAACCCTACACAACTAAGCCCTACACCCCTCTACTTAGGGTTCTGCACAAGGGCTTAGGGTTTGTCAAGTTTAGGGCTTAATTCGGGTTCAGGGTTTAGGAGGGTTTAGGGTTTTGGGTTGAGGGTTTTGGGTTTAGGGTTTAGGGCTTAGGGGCTGAACCCTTAGCCCAGGCCCTAAATTCCTTCAGTCAAAAAGCAATCAGGCAAAGAAGGGAGAGGAGGAACCACTTTGCGCTCCTGTGAGTAGCTTCCGAGGCACAGTTGTGGTGGGATGCTTCCCCTTTTGCGGTTTAAGGTTTTTTGGGTTTAGGGATGTTCCCCCTTATACTAGCAGTCCTTAATACCCCCCGAGTGTAATCCCTATTAAATAAGGACAGTGTTCCGCGCGATTTCGGCTTTCCCGTTCCTTCGGAGCCTAAGCTACCCCGAAAACCCCTCAACCACTCAAGCCCTAAACCCGAAACCCGAAACCCGAAACCCTAAACCCAACCACTCAAGCCCTTAACCCTGAACGTAGGTGATTTTTTGGTGGGGCAATGGAAACTCCAGGGAGTCAGCAGGATTTTTTCACTGCAGCCTTGGAGACAGTGTTCTTCTTACCAAAAACCCCACACCCTAAACCCCAAACCCGAAACCCGAAACCCTAAACCCTAAACCCTAAACCCTAAACCAGGCTCCACAGGCGCGGATGAGCTGCGAGCGCTTCAAGCGGAACTGGAACCTAAACCCTAGGCCTCAAATCCGAAGCCCACAGGCTCAACCCCAGGGTTTAGGGTTTAGGGTTTAGGGTTTAGGGTTTAGGGTTTAGGGTCCCTGATGACTCCCCCCGACGCCC